CTATACTGCTGTATAAAGTCTTGAACTTTCATAAATTATGTAACATGGTGTATGCACACACAATGACTTCTATCAAATAAAGCATGTTTTCATGCATGTGTTTTTTGTTTTGTTTTGTTAATTTGGCCTTAGACTGTCATAGTTATGATTAACACAGCCTTGCAAAATAAACACAATCTACCAAATTAAAGGGAGATAATTCCATTCAGAAATACTTTATCAAGCAAACGGATATTAAATGCTCTGCTAACTCATACCTTTTTTTTTTTTGTTATTTTTTATTTTTATTGAGTTGTCGTAGATGTTGATAGCTGTAGACAGGAAGAAAGCCTCTGACTGAAAACACTTTGTTGTTGTTTAAAAATCTTCTGAAGAAGATGGTTACTATTGTCCATTATCTTCTACTTTGTTAAGAATTCATCTTTGTGAAATCATCCCCAAGTTTTAGAGAAGTTCTTAAAACAGAGCATGCCTTCAACACACACACACACAAAAAAATTCTATTAGTGTTATTTTGCTTATTTTTATTTTTTTTTCCACAGGCAAAGCTTTTGAGATAACATACATCCGGTTAAAGTTCTACACCAGTCGACCAGAGAGCTTCGCCATTTACAAACGCACAGAGAAGGATGGGCCTTGGTTACCTTATCAGTATTACAGTGCTTCATGTGAGAAGACATACAGAAGGTTCACCAAAGGCTACATTCGCCCTGGAGATGATGAAAGGACTGCGTTATGTACAGATGAGTTCAGTGATATTTCCCCTCTTACTGGAGGAAATGTGGCTTTTTCTACCCTGGAAGGCCGGCCCAGTGCCTACAACTTTGACCAAAGCCTGGCACTCCAGGTAAGCAGACATTTTGCCAGATGTTTAAAAAAGAAGCAACTAATGTTTATTTACAGTACATGCAAAGTAATAACATTTTTCATCACTGTGTTATTTTAAATCAGACTCATGTTTTGCAGTTTCAGGTTAGTCAGGATTACCTAAGTTGTTTTTTTTCTTTTTTATTAGCTTAACATAATGAGAGAGACAAACTAAAACTGTGACGTTTTTGAAAATTCTTTTTATATTCATTTCTTTTATAATTAGAACCATTTTACAAAATAAAGACATAAATAGTGTGACTGTATCAGCATTGCACACCTTCTAATTTGGTCCCAAAAATTTCTGTGTGGACTAAAGTGAAGGCTTTTTAGATGACCCCATCCAAACCCTTCATTTTACCTTTAAACCTCTTTGTAACCAACTCAGCACCTAACAGAGCCTTTTTTTTCTTTATCTAATAAAAATAAAAACACACAACATGATGCTTCCACCTCAAAGCTTAAAAGGTTGAATCGTGATTCCAGGTTTTAAGACTTCCCTTATTTTATCCAAACATAACACTTACTATACTATACTATACTATACTTACTATTTAATCATGTTGTTACAGAACTTGTTTTAATTCTTCACCAGCTTCAGTCAGCATTTAGTTTTTACTCTGAATTTGCAACAGCAATTACATATAGGTTTCTGGAAAGGATTGCATGTACAACAGTATGATTACTGGACATTTAAGTTATGTTTATACTTCCATGACTGTTTAAATGTATTTATCAGATAGCAGTCTTAGATATCTGGAACCTAAGGTAAAGGTTGAACTAGGCTTAATGCCAGAACACACCGAATCCAATTTTGCCACCGATCTGACTGAAAATCCTATCAAACAAGTTTGTGGCATTTAGCGCTCATTGAATGTCAATGGGTATGATCTCACCTGACACCTGACAACTTTTCCATCTGAGGTTGACCCCAGTTCCATTTTGCTCAGACTACGCAGCAATTTAGTGGCAATTTCATGGGTCTGACAGGAAGAAAGACATGCTTACAAAGTAAAACACATCCGCTTTGGAAGAAAATTCAATATAAAGCCTGTTAATCGCACGGGGAAATAGTCAATTTAGCAGTTGCTCATTGCATATATATAGTAAGCGGGATAGACTGGTGTGAAAATGATGAATGAAAAAAGTCATTAGTAAATACATAATTTACCTATGATAGGAATTCAGGAGGAAAGAAAACAGATAAAGTAGTGATCTCTTTAAGTGATCCGCTATAAGACAATTTCATTGTATGAGCTGGCTGAATTGTCTCTGATGAGAGACAGAGCAGGCAATCATGGCGTATCTCTCAACTCTATAAAAAAAAAGAAAAACTTCAATAAATTTCCCAGATCTCCCACTGAGAATCACCTCTCACTGCCTCACTCAGCATATAAACCGTTCCCACGGCATTTATTGCTGTGTTTTTCTTTTCTTTAGATGTAAATCTTATTATGTTTTTAATATACTCATATGAACATTCTCTGTTCTGATTTGAGACGCTGCTGAGACTTGTTAAGTAGGGCCTTTCTTTGTAGCTGCACCAATGTTTTTTTTTTTTTTTTT